GGTGTCTGAGTTGATTTCTGTATCTTTTGTGTTGATAGGCTTTGATTTTCGATTTTCTGCGAGTTCGTAACTGTATCTAATTCTTGTTCTTCTGAGTTTGAGAAATCGGTTCTTTTATGACTCTCAATAGCAATCGGCTGGGTTACTTCTTGTTTAGTCACTGTGCGAGTAGGACTAATCGTCAAAACATCATCCTCCTCATCGCTCGAAATGAGAGATATTGGATTAGATATGCTCCCGCTATCAAAGTATTCAAGTATAATATTTTTATCTTCGTCAAATGATTCTATCTGACTTTTGTATTTTTCCCCTCGCAATTTTTTATCCAATCGTTGTGATGGCGATTTTGTATGTACAAATGTATAATGTTTTAATACAGTAGAAGCAGAACGTTTCATCGGGACAATACACGCTTTATTTTTTACCGGCCCACTATGAATTCGGGGCTGAATGCATTGATTAGTTAAATATTGATTGTTGGTCAGCTTTGCACAAGATTTTTTGGATTTTTTGGAGGACTGTGAAGTGCTATGCTTTACAGAGGGTATATCTTTTATCATAAATAATGATATATGTTATAGAATTAATAAACTTTTTACAACTAAATATTAGAACAAAAAAATTAGTAATCAATTTACCATTTTCATCCAATATCATTAGGTCTGGCAATGATATATTATGGTTAACCTTATTGTCATTTACATTATTGATAGGGATAATATTGTCACGGGAAAACACGCCATTATGATTTGAAGCCGTCCCAACGTCACCAAAATACATAAATTGATCAGACATAGGAAGTTGCAAGACATCCTGAGAAGTTACGTCCGAGTTATTAATACTTATAAGATCCAATGACTTGAAATTATTATGTTTATTGACAAATGTTGAAAGCTTTGAATTCCTTAATTCTGATGGAATCTCGAAATCGGAGCCTAGCCGTTTTATCTGAACCACATATTCATTTAATTTCTCTAGGCATTTATCCCAGTTAAATTCATATATAGCACTCTGAACTGGATCGCTTTTGTAAAGAAGGTATTTCTTATAAAGTTCCGATAGCTCACTAAGTTGCAATTTTGCATTGTGTACTCTAAAATCATTAGCCA